CCCCCCCCCCCCCCGTCCCCACGCCCCACCGTCCGCGCACACCTATGTCTCCGCACCCCCCGTCCGCGCGCCCCCCTGTTCGGCGCCCCCAGTCTGCACCCCCCGTCCCCGCGCGCCCAGGCTGCCCCGGTGCTCACTCTCCCATTGCTTTCAGTCTGGGGCCAGGACAGTCACAGACTCGAGTTCCGGCGGCGCCGCAGCTCCATGCGCCGTGGGGGCCTGGGAGGCTCCCCGAGGGGTGGCCCAGCTTGTGCTGCGCGCTGACCTCTCGTCCGTGAGGTCGGCACATCTCTCCCGTCTGGCTGCCGACTCTCCGCACCCCCGGGGAGGGTGCCCCCTGGGTAACGTGAGCGACACTGGTCCTCGCTGGCAGCGCCTGCTCTCCTGCCTGGGGCCCTGACCTCAGGCCGCCCTCCCGCCATCCGGTAAGTGAGACCCGGAAGCCTCAGGTGGCCTGGGTCACAGCGCAGGGCACCCTGGTTCGGAATCCTGCTTTCCAGTGGCTGGGGCGCCCATGCACATGTGACACAGGCTCTATTCTCCACAGATTGACCGGCTCATTAGTTATGGGGCTGACATCCTGAAGCCGGTGACGCTCATGCAGGGGGACAAGATGGCTGTGGGCACCGCCGTCGATTACGGGTATTTCAGGTTCTACCAGGTATGGCTTTACGCCTGTCGGTGGTGGGAGTAGAGGAGCTGGGCCCCGGGCCCCCACGCCCGACAGAAGCCCGCCCCGGGCCTGCGGGGAGGGAAGATGTGGGCTCCCCGGCGAATCCTGCTGGCGTGGCTGCTGGCGTGGCTGCTGGCGTGGCTGCTGGCGCGCCAGCGTTCTGAGTGCTGCTCCACTTTGTCCCCACCATTAGGACGTGTGTCGCCCTGGGGTGGCAGGTCGGGGCCGGGGGCTGGGGCCCTGCGGTCCCTGGCGGTGACCCGGTGCTGTGCTGCAGGACCGGAAGATCGCGCACTGCCCCTTCCATGCGCTGATGCCGGCCGAGCGGGAGATCTTCCTGGCCCGGAAGAGGATCCTGGAGTACATGGGCGTCCAGCTGCGCCTCGCCGTCTTCGCCAAGGAGAGCCGGTGGGACCCGAAGGCGCTGTACCTGAGCAAGAGAGGTGGGTGTCGGCGGGCACGGCCGGGCGGGTGAGAGCCACGCGTGCCTCCCAGGGAGCGGGAGGCAGCGCAGGGCCGGCCCCTTCGCGCCCTGGCCAGCCACCCACGTCTCCTGTGTGTGACGGAGCGTCCCCAGAAAGGACAGAGTCACATACCCAGTGGCCTTTGCTTCTGTGTCACCGAGAGGCTGGGGTTGTGACAGTTGTGTAGGAGATGCTCCTCTAGACGGCGCCTGCTGCTCAGGCCTAGTGCTGCCCTGGCTGCCCGACCCCCAAGCCCCGGCGCCGCCAGTCCTCTGCCCCAGCTGCCCCACCCCTGCGCCCTGGCCGCTCGCAGAATGGTTTAACCACAACAGACTCAGTGTGACGCACCGTGTGACTGGGCCGAAGAAGAAACTCCATGGGATTGTTTCAACTGATACAGAGAAAGCATCTGACAGAACCCGGCATCTTACAGGGTAAAACATATGACAAACAAGGAATAGGGGGCCACCTACTTAACCTGCTTAGGGGCACCGACAACACGGTGCTTTCTCCCGGAGAAGGGGGAGGGGCACGTTCCTGCTCCGTGCTGCACTGGGGTCGGCCGGTGTGACCGTGCAAGACGAAAACAGTCATTCGTATTGGAAAGGAAACAGTTAAAGTGTCTCTCTTTCCAGTATCTTATAGATTGAGAATCCTAGGAATCCACGTCATAAGCTAAACCTAATACTAAACTATTAAACTAGGGGCACCGGGGTGGCTCAGTTGGCTGAGTGTCTGGCTCTTGATTTCAGCTCAGGCCATGATCCCAGGGTCGTGGGATCGAGCCCCGCATTGGGATCTGCTGAGTGTGGTGCCTGCTTAAGATTCTCTCTCTCCCTCTCTCTCCCTCCATCTCTCTCTCTCTCTCCTTCCCTGTGCTCTTCCCCTGCTGGCCTTCTCTCTCTAAAAACAAGACAAAACAAATAAAACCCTTAAAACAAAAAATTGGTAGGCTAAGTAAATATTACAACATTAACATAAATATAACTCTGTTACACTGTTGTAACTAATGAATGTGCTCAGTAGGTTGCAGGATATGAGATCAGTGCACAAACATCCAGAGTATGTCCACAAATCGCAGCAAGCAAAGCAAAAATGAGATTAAAAAATTTTTTTTAATTTTACATTCTTAATTTTTATTTTTGAGAGACAGAGTGAGACAGAGTGTGAGCAGCGGAGGGTCAGAGAGAGAGGGAGACACAGAATCCGAAGCAGTTCCAGGCTCTGAGCTGTCAGCACAGAGCCTGACACGGGGCTCAAACCCACGACTGTGAGATCATGAGCTGAGCCGAAGTCGGACGTTCAACCGACTGAGCCCCCCAGGCACCTCTCAAAAATGAGATTTAAAAAACAGCTTCATTTACAGTATCAGTAAGAATAAAATGCTTATTAATACATTTAACAAAAGCTGTGCAGAACTTACCCTCTGAGAACTGCGCTGCTGACGTGAAAGGAGGCCTCCCCAAGTGGAAGGACATCTTGTCAGAATCCCGTTGTCCACTTTGCACGAATTGAGAAGCCGATTTCAAAATTCAAAGGTCCCGGAATAGCTGTAGTAATCTCGAAAGAAAAGAGCAAAGTTGAAGGACTCCTACTTTCTAAACTCAAAACGACAAACTTACTGCTGCAAAACGACAGCACATACGGTGAGGCCCTGGCGTGAAGTGTACGGAACGATGGGCTAGAACACGCTAGAACACACCGGAACCAAACCCACGTGTGTGTCAGTGAATGCAGCAAGCATGCCGAGGCCTTTTCAAGAGCTGAGACTTTTTAGTAAACAGCGCTGGGGCGGCTGGCCATCCAGACACCCTAGAACGAGGCTTGGCCCTGCCTCCCACCACATACCAGATTTAATTCAATTTGCATTGAAGACCTAAATGTAAGCACTTAGTCTATAAATTTCCATCAAAGGAAACTTAGGGACAAATCTTACTATCCTCGGACTTGCAGTGAGGTTCTAGGTATGACACCAAGAGCATAAGCAACGAAAGAAAAAATGGATAAATTGGATTTCATCAAAATTAAAAACATTTGTGCTTCAAAGGACACTATCAAGAAAATGAAAACACAACTGACAGTGTGGGAGATATAATGGTATGTAGGGTACATTGAAAAATTGTAGATCTCCATAATAAAGACAAATAAGTGAATTAAAAATGAACAGGGGTACCTTGGTGACTTAGTATGTTAAGCATCTGACTTCGGCTCAGGTCACGATCTCACGGTTGGTGGGTTCGAGCCCCACGTCGGGCTCTGTGCTGACAGCTCAGAGCCTGGAGCCTCTTTCAGATTCTGTGTCTCCCTCTCTCTGCCCCTCCCCCACTTGCACTTTGTGTGTCTCTCTCTCAAAAATAAACATTAACGTATTTTTAAAAAAATGGACACAGAGTATAAATAGGAATCTCTCCAAAGAAAGATACACAAATGGGCAGTAAGCACATGAAAAGATGCTCAACATCATCAATTATCAGTGAGGTACAGATCAGACCTCACTGGGATGACCGCTCTCCAGCCCCCGGGATGATTGTAATCAAAAAACAGCGTGTGTTGGTGAGAACATGCAGCAGGTGGAGCCCTCGTACGGCGCTGGTGGGAACACGATGTGGCGCAGCCTCAGATGCTGATCGTGCAGTCACCGTATGACCCAGCAATGCCACTCCCAGGTAGAAACTCGAGAGAAGTGAGAACATAAGTCCACCCAAAACTTGTGCTCCACTGACTACAGCAGCGTTGTTGATAAAAACCAAAGGATGGAAGCAACCCAGGATCCATCACCGGATGGATGGATGGATGGATGGATGGATGGATGGATGGATGGATAAGCACATCGCGGCACAGCCATTTGATGGAATGTTATTCGTCTGTGAAAAGGATTGAAGCACTGACACGGGGTGAAGCGCCGACACGTGCTGTAACATGGACGAACCTCAAAAACATTGTTTTAAGCAAAAGAATCTGGCCCCAGAGCCCACGCACAGACCGTATGATTTCATTCACGTGAAATGTCCAAACTGGGCGAATATGGAGAGACACAGTGGCTCGGTGGCCGCTGGGCCTGGAGGGCTGGGGAGTCGGGGCCGGAGGTCACCGGGCTGGAGTGACGGGCACGTTGGAGCCCTGGTGGCGGGGGTGGCTACGCACCTGCGGATGAACTGATGGCCGCTAACTCGTGCACTTAAACGCATGGATTGGATGGAACGTGAAGCCGATGTCCACAAGGTGTTAACGAGCCCAGCACTGTAACAAAGAGGTGCTCTTTCCACTGTCCGTGTCCTTTGAAGGAGGTGACCGTGATGCCATGACACCATGGGATCCGTGTCCGTCTCTGCCTTGTCACCTCTGCTGGTGCCATGTGGTCTTCACGACGATGGCTTTGACTCGTGCGCACTGTCCTGGGCCCATGCTCTACCCGCCCTAGCAGTGGGGTGCAGCCCTGGGTGCTGGTGGGCACAGGAAGGGTGGGGGAGGGAGGGCCCCACCTTCTCTGTCCCGTGGCCAGCAGGTGTCTGTGGGGCCCCTGCTGAATTAGAGGGTAGACGGCCTTCCTGGGGAGGGCTGATGTGCCGTGTGCGGAGAGGAGGGTGGAGGGGTGCAGTGGACCCCGGCAGTAACCGGGGGGTCGCGGCCTCTGGCCCCCCGGCCCCTGTGTGTCCTGCTGCCGGCTGCTGGGCCGCAGAGCCGGGAGTGTCCGCTCCAGAGACTGTCGTGAGCTGGTCAAGGACGAAGAAGCCCAGTTGCCTTTTTTTTTTTTTTTTAATGTTTTTTTTTTTATTTATTTCTAGGAGAGAGAGAGAGAGAGCGTGAGCAGGGGAGGGTCAGAGAGAGAGGGAGTCACAGACTGAAACAGGCTCCAGGCTCTGAGCTGGCAGTCAGCACAGAGCCCGACGCGGGGCTCGAACCCACGAACCGCGAGATCATGACCTAAGCGAAAGTCGGACGCTTAACCGACTAAGCCACTCAGGCGCCCCCAGCCCAGTTGCCTTTTAACGTCGTTCACCGAGCCGGCTGACGACAAAGAGGCGGGGGGCCCGGAGGCTGCAGACGTGTGTCCAAGGGGAGGCCCCTCCCCAGAGGCTGTGGACTCCCCCCAACGGCCCCAGGCTCCGCCCTGTGCCCTCAGACTTTCCTCGGGGCGGTGAAGGCCTGGGGTCCCCCCCAGTTCCCTGCAGTACGGGGACTGGTCTCCCGGCAGGCGGGTGCTTGAGGCGGGTGGCTCGGAGCTCCTTACACCCCAGGGCGCCACGGCGCGACCAGGGGGACCCATGGGGACCGAGGTGCTTCTCTGTCCGTGCAGCGGAGCTGACCGCCTACCACAGGCTGAAGCGGAAAAGAGAGAGCCTGTCTAAGCCACTGCACGTGGAGGAGCAGGGGCGGTGAGTGGCTGGCCGAGGGTGGCCGTGGGCTCGACCCTGTGACCGGCCCGAGCCCCCTGCCCGGGACAGCGTTGTTCCGTCTGAGCCCCGAGCACCGTGACCAGCTCCCAGGCTGTGGCTGCGGGCGGAGACGGGGTGGCGGATGGGGTCTCAGGTGCACTCCCGAGTGGCCCAGCGGGGTGTGAGCCTAGGCTCCGCTCCCGAAGACATGTCAGCGGGCTCAGTGGACGCACTGCCCGGTGCCCCGCGCCCCTCTCAGCCCCTCCCCCGCCGGCTCCTCCTCCGGGTCACGGCTTTGCAACCACCCTGCTGTTCCGGAACAGTCTCTGTGTAGACATGTGCACCTTATTATCCCTGTGGGTGTCCTGGAAGCTGCCTGCCAGTGATGCCTGGTGGGTGCGGTGGGGTGATGAGCGGGGACAGGCCGGGGGGTGCGTCCACTTGGGGGCTCGTCTTCCTCCTGAGGCAGAGCCCGGGCGCGCCAGGGACCCCCAGTCCCACGTGTGCCTCATGGCGTGGTGCACGAGGGCCCGTGACGCCATGGCCTCGCCACCCGTGTGGCCCTGGCGCGAGCACTCCGGTGGCAGAGCGTGCGCCTGCTGTTCTGAGTAGCCCTGTACCGGACGTGTGTCCACGTGGGAGTGGCCACCTGCGTGGAGGATGGCGGCTCCGGCGGGGACAGCAGGAGGGTCCCAGAGCTCGGGGTGGGTCGGCCACGGATGGCAGGCAGCGGGGCTCCCTTGCAGGATCCCCTTCTTCAAGTTCTGCTACCAGTGCGGCCGCTCGGTCGGGGTGCGCCTCGTGCCCTGCACCCGCTGCTACGGGATCCTGACCTGCAGCAAGTACTGCAAGACCAAGGCCTGGGGTGACTTCCACAAGAGGGACTGCGGCAGCCTGACGGCCATCGGTGAGTCCGGCTGTTGGGCGGCTGCCTGCCGTGTGTGAGGACTCGGGCACCGGCCTGTGGGGTGGCTGAGTGAGGGCGTCCTTTATGCCCTGAAATCTCTCGGATTCAAGCCACCTTCCAGAGTTCCCAGATGGGCCTGTTGTGTAGACAGGGAGGGCACTGAGCCCACCTGGTTCTTCTCCAGGCGTCATGGGACCATGACTCCCCGGAGGTGGGCAGAGCCTGGGCTCCACAGAACCGGGACGCGATCCCTGGGGCTCCACGGGACACGACGTGAGGGCTCTTCTAGACCTGTGGGGGGCTCCGCTGGACACGTGGGGGCTCCTCTGGACACGTTGGGGGGCTCCTCTGGACACGTTGGGGTCTCCTCTGGACACGTTGAGGGGCTCCTCTGGACACGTGGGAGGCTCCTCTGGACACATGGGGGCTCCTCTGGACACGTGGGGGCTCCTCTGGACACATGGGGGGCTCCTCTGGACACATGGGGAGCTCCTCTGGACATGTTGGGGCTCCTCTGGACACGTGGGGGCTCTTCTGGACATGTTGGGGCTCCTCTGGACACGTGGGGGCTCCTCTGGACACGTGGGGGCTCTTCTGGACACATGGGGGGCTCCTCTGGACATGTTGGGGCTCCTCTGGACACGTGGGGGCTCCTCTGGACACGTAGGAGCTCCTCTGGACACATGTGGGGGTCCTGGTGGGCACTGGTTTTCGGATCATAGGGCATTTGGCCTTGGTGCTGCTTCTGGAAGGTTCCTCCTAGCCTACCCTCCCCACATCCCTTCCTTGGGATGACCTGAGGAGGAGCTACAGGCTTGTGGGTGGTGACCCGTCACCATGGCGCCACTACCCTGAGGGGCCAGTGGTGAGCACAGCTGTGTGCACACTCGTCCCCTGGCCCTTGATCAGGTGGGGGGGAGGGGCAAGGCACCCTTTCCCTGAGCCTGTCCTTGGTGTGGACGGACAGAGAGGCTGGGCTGACCCCTGCCCTTGGGTCCGTGGCTCTCTGTCCTCCATAGTCACCTGTGTACAGTGGGGATTTCACCAGCAGGCCCCTCCTGTGGGGTGTGCCTGGCTGTGCACAAGACATGGGGACCCCAGGCTGGGAAGCCCCTCTCTGGAGAGCTATCACGGCTCCCACTCAACCGTTGCCATGCACGCCATACGTGTGCAAGCACGAAGCCAGGCCTGGCATGGGTGGGGGGGGGAGGGTTTCTCGTCGCCCTGCGTGCAGCGGGGGGCACCGTGTCCCAGGGGGCAGCAGGCTGGCAGGGCCCGGGGCGCGTGGCACCCCTGCAGCGGGCCTGTGCTTCAGCCTCCCTGGAGACGGCCCAGGCCCTCACCTCCCTCCTCCCCGCAGCGCCTTGCCCAGGGGCCCGCCTGGAGGACATGCAGCTGGGGGAAGAGTCGCAGTGATGGCGCGATGCCCGAGGCCTGGGAGGGCCTGCGCTGCGGCGGGTCCCACCCTCGGGGCCGCCTGCAGGCTCCTGGCCCCAGAGTCCTCTGGCCTGGTGCAGGGGCCTGTACCCACAGGGCTGTGCGTGGCCGTGTGTCCTTCCCGGCCTCGCAATAAAGCGGCCCCACTGGGGAGCCTTTTAACCCTTTCTGCCTTGCTCCGCCCCGACGCACACAAGCCCAGAGCTTCCGAGGGCCCGGCCGCCCCTGCCCGGCGTCTGTGGAGGAGGGTCAGGACTGGAGCGCCATCCAGAGATGCCCGTGGGAAGGTCACTCCTGCGCCTCCGGGGGGGGCGTGTTTGGGGGCTTCCCCGGAGCTCCCAGCCCGGACTCTATCGGTTCGGTTCCTGCACAGAGGCTCCCGGCTCCCTGTCCCCGCTGTGTGCAGGGGGTTCATGTCTTCCGTGCACATTTGCCGCGCGCGCACGTGTGTGTGTGTGTGTGTGTGGTGTGCTCTGGGGGACCCTGCATGTGGAAGTCACCTGTGACTGAGATGGAGGCGGTTGTGGGGGTGCCTGTGAGTCAGCGGCGTGGCCGCAGCGACGCTGGGCCATGGGTGGTGGGGCTGCTTTCGTGGAGGGCGTGGGAGGAAGGGGCAGTGAGGTCTGAGGACTGGGGTGTGACTCCTCCGAGCACTTGGGTGGTGGCGTGTGCAGGCGGGGGCGGGGCGTGGCGTGGCAGGGAAGGGGGACCGAGCCTGTGCGGGGGCCCCAGCAAGGCCCGCTGTGTGCTGGTCAAGGCGGCCCCACCCGCAGCCCTGGTTTTGCCTGATTTCCCTGATCCCTTGTCAAAGCTGGGGCCCCTTAGTGCAGAGCTGGCTGGGGGGCTCCCGGGGGGACCCTGGAGGCGCGAGGAAGCACCTGAGCGGGAGGAGAAAGGACCCCGAGTGCAGCTCGGTATCAGCCCGTCCTGGCGGCAGGCAGCGCCAGAGGCAGGGGACCAGGGGCCGCTGGCGTCTGCGAGGCCAGAAGATCCTCCTAACAGCGCGTCTTAGTTGTGAACGTCTAGTGAACGATCTATACACAAAAGCAAGAGAAGATTAAGTGACGATTATCCCCAAACCTGGAAATGACCACTGGCACCACCTCCTCCAGACCCACGTGTGTGCATCACAGCCACACCGCCCACAACACACACCGCACACGCGCACCCCATGCACGCACATGCTGCACACCACCCGCAGCGCACAAACATCACACGCGCACAGTGCACACACAGCCCACAACACACACGCACCACACACCGCACACCCCACGCACGCACATGCTACACACCACCCGCAGCGCGCAAACGTCACACGTGCGCACAGTGCACACACAGCACACACCGCACACACACCGCACACACACACGCACACCCCATGCACGCACGTGCTACACACCACCCGCAGCGCGCAAACGTCACACACGCGCACAGTACACAGCACATAACGCACACGCGCACCCCACACACGCACATGCTGCACACCACCCGCAGCACGCAGACGTCACACACGCGCACAGTACACACATGGCACACAACGCACACACACTGCACACACACATGCACACCACACACACGCACGTGCTACACACCACCCGCAGCGCGCAAACGTCACACACGTGCACAGTACATGACACACAACACGCACCACACGCCGCACACGCGCACCCACGCACGCACGTGCTACACACCAACCGCAGTGCGCAAACGTCACACAACACACGCACCACACACACACACGTGCTACACACCACCCGCAGCGTGCAAACGTCACACGTGCACAGTAGACACCCAGCACACAACGCACATGCGCACCCCACACACGCACGTGCTGCACACCACCCGCAGTGTGCAAACGTCACACACACGCACAATACACACACGGCACACAATGCACACACACCGCACACGCGCACAGTACACACACGGCACACAACGCACACACCGCACACGCGCACCCCATGCACGCACATGCTGCACACCACCTGTAGCGCGCAAACGTCACACACACGCACAGTACACACAGCACACAACCCACACCCACCACACAATCTGAAAGTGGGAGCGTGATCTGTGGATTCCAAACGTAACCACACATCTAGCTGTGTGTTAAAAGTTTTCTGCAACATAACTTTCCCCAAATGAAGACAGGCTGGAGCCCCGCGTCAGGCTCTGTGCTGACAGCTCAGAGCCTGGAGCTGCTTCCCATTCTGTCTTCTTCTCTCTCTGACCCTCCCCCGCTCACACTCTTTCTCTCAAAAATGTAAAAAAAATTTTTAGAAGAACACAATAATGAAAACGTTGAAAATACCCCTAGTCTTACTGCTCAAGGATAAACCCAAACTTACCAGATTTTAATCTGTGCACAGGTGCACACGTGCATGCACACCCATGCGTGGGCGCACACGGATTTTTTTCACGTGTCCTTCCATTTGTTTTTCATTAAATGGTTCATCCTGTGACCTGAGCCTGCCTGCCTGATGCGCCGCGTGCTCCCTGCCCTTCCCGCGAGGGCGCGGCCGCGTGTGGCGCCCAGTGGTTTCGGGGCTCACTGGTGAGTGACGCCCGCTGCCGCGCTCCACGCCGCGTTCACAGAGGCAGCTTCTAGCGTTTCGGAGCGCTCCCGACTTCAGCCTCGTTCTCTCAGCCTCCTTGCGAGGCTCATGAGCAGGTCTGTGCCTGGGGCGCGTGCGGCCTGCGGGCGGTGCTCTGCGCACGCGAGGGCGCGACTGGCCTTTTCCTGGTCTGTTACTGGAGATGCCCGCCCTTCCTGGCCGCCTCTTGTGCGGAGGACCTTCTCCCTGTTTGAGCTTCGCTGCGTGGAGTTTCTCACGCTGCCTCACCTCCTGTCCTGGGTGGGGTTTGCTGGCAGGTCTGGGAAGCGGTCCCCACACGGAGAGGACGTAGGGCCCAGATTTTACTAGCAGTCTTCATGCATTTTTGTTTTACCTGTAACTTTGCAACCGGCCTGGAATGAATTATTGTGTTAAGATCTGAGAGCCACCGGCAAGAACTGTCCCCAGAGGCCGAGTGGTGATGGAACCCTCCGGAACCCTCTGGAACCCTCCACCTGCCTGCCGTATGTGCACACGGCACCCGAGTCCCAGACTCTCCAGGCTGCGGCCCCTGTGGCATTTCCGTTTCCCTGTGAAAGGCACTGGCTGGTACTGCATGTGGACTGGGTCCCCGAGTAACTGCTCTGATGGTCCGGGGGGAGCGGGGGAGCCCGCGTCTGGGGCGTGGGGGCCTCCAGGCGAGGATGTGCTCTCCCGGCCCAGCTTCATAGTGTCCTGTGCAGAGGACTCAGCCCTGGCTGCTCCCAGACCTTCTCTCCTCCGCCCCATCCTGTGCTGTCTGCTCAGCTCTGCCTTCAAAGCTGGGCCCAGTCAGGCCGCTTCCAGAACCTCCTGCGACTCCGACGCTTGCCTCCTCGCTGTCCCCGCAGCCCCCCCCCCTTTGCCCCTGCATCCACCTGGCGTCTGCCGGAGCCCTCGGCTTGGCCCGTCCCTGCGCCTAGTGCTGCCATCCCCCTCAGGACTGCTCCAGCCCCTCCCCGCCCCCACCCTGCCCTGCCCTCTCCCTAATGTCCCCGGGGCTCCTCCTTTCCTGTTCCCAGCCAGCTGCCCAGTGGAGTCCTCTCTGCTTCTGGGTCGACTGGCGCC